ATGCTCCTTTAAAATCAATAAATAGTGCGTAAACAACTGCCCCCGGGGTTCTAAGGTGAATTTGAATAATGGCTAGAAGAGTAAATAAGTTGTCTAAACAGCTTCTACCCCCCTAAAGCCAGATTGAAAATCTTTGTTCAGCAGTTGACCAATGTAATAGGTCTATAATTCCCCGGGTCCTTTATATCCCCCTTCTTAAATATCATGCTAGTACAAGATTTTCCCCAGGCCTTAGAAACCAACTCCTTTTCTAATATGTTATTAAAAAAATGCTCAATAAAAAACACCCAATTTGATGGCAAATTGTTATGAAAATCATTATTAATTCTGTCCAGACCAGAGGCCTTTCCACTCTTACATGACACAATATTCCTTAGAATCTCCTCGGTTGTAATATAACCATCAAGGATAGGGTGAGTTACTCTTAGAAAACTACAATCTTTCCTAGGGCTGTCATACTGCGGGAAATTTTGTCCATTGGCATTTACTTGCTTTAAAACAATAACTGCGTGTTAAGAACATAATCGCTACACAACTGAAAACTTGACAAAAACTTATTGTAAATATTCTTCTCACTCGTAAAAATTAAATTTGTAGTAAGTCTTACAATGAACACAATGCATTTATTTAACCGACAATTATAATTTTGTTTTTTCGATTTACCTAATAAATTTGACGCGAACGCGGACTATAGACAAGTGAAACTGCTATTTTTAAAGCATACATGTACTTTTTGAGACAAGCAAATATTTTTGTTTGACTCAAATTATTTTATAAAAACAAATAAAATAGGTTAATTAAATAGTTTGGTTCAATAAAATAAACTTTTTGTCTGAGTGTACAGTTAAAGTTTTATTTCAGTAGTAGAATATATTCAAAGTTCAAGGATACGTCAACTTTTTAGTAGAGTAAATCAGTTGTAGTCAGTCTAAAAATGAAGGTATCAATTTTTTGTTTGTATCAAATTTCCTTCTGTCCTTCTGTAATATAATTTTTTTATTTCAGTAGTAAAATTCAATTTGTAATCAGACGGAGCATTTATGTATAGTTTTCTGTATCAGTAGTAATGGGTGATTTTTGTCAAACCGAACATTGTATTTTTGTTTACACTATAAAAATTCAGAAGAAAAAAAGTTTTTTGATTTTTTAAAAAATAATTATTAATATTAGTACTTATAGACGGAAGTATATATATAACTTAATTCCTTTGAAATACCTTATAAGAGTGCAGACAGTTCGTGATGAATAGTGGAACTCCAGAAGCAATTTTCGCAAGATTGTTACAATTAATAAAAATATTAACAATTTCTACAGAAAGAAAAACTCCTAATGTAAACATAAAGAAGCCAATGCTATAAACAAAGAACATTATTTTATAAAAACCGGTTAATTTCGGTGGTACACTGAGAAAAATAAACATAACTGAGTGCTGTCCGGACAGGACTGGTCCCTGTCCAAAATTTTTTTTTCATTTAGACAGTACTCTTTGCTTTCTGGACAGGAATGATTCCTGTCCAGAATGGACTGAGTAATGTCTTAGACATTAATGAAGAAGACAGATGTGAACGATGTCTGGACAGGAACCACTCCTGTCCAGACATTAATGACAACTCGCCGCGTTTAAATAAATCTGTATACTTATTTGTAGTGTTCGAAAAAATCCAACCTTAAATAATCTCTGATTTTATTCTATACAAAAAAAACTTTATAACTTCTATGAATATCACCTTATAATAATTAAAAAAATGAATGCTGAAATTTCGCAATAGTTTTCAAAGGTTATTATGACAGTTGTTTAAAGTGTAAATATGGAGTCCCAGGGTAAGTTATACGTTTTTATTAATCTTTAAATTTTCTTTAAAAATAAATTATTTTATTCTTATTATTCATTTCTAATCGTTCTATAGAAATTGTATTCTCTTTTGAAAATTCGCTTCATAATTCCATCGCTAGTGCTACGAATTCCACACTTTGTGACATCCTCTGTACAAAATGTCAAGAAACTGTTCTTCCTGGAGAGAACAGTGCTTTAATTGGGAGGGAGAATCTCAAAAACTTCCTGTCAAAATCATTCGATGGAAAAAGAATTCTTAGCCACTTCGAAAAAAATGAAAACCTTTCAGAAAATGCTTTAGCCTCTCTAACTCATTTGATTATAAATCGGGAATGTAACCTCATTTTTCAAGAAAAAAATATAAGTTTACAAAATCCATTGAAAAGCTTTGAGTAAGCTCTTTACAATAACCATATGTATAAGAATTTTTGCGAGAAATTATTTGCTCTATAACTGAATCGTTTTTAATTACATTTTTAATTTTTTATAATTTTTCTCTAAATTTTAAACTGCAAAATGCATATTAATAATACATTCTATAATTTTAATCGAGGAACTTGTCACACTTTCTTGAAAATGGAATTATAAAAAAATTTTAAATACTAAATAAAAATAAAAATAAATAAATAAATAAATAAAAATAAAAATAAAAATAAAAATAAAAATAAATAAATAAATAAATAAATAAATAAATACATAAATAAATAAATAAATAAATAAATAAATAAATAAATAAAAATAAATAATAATAATAAATAAATACAAATGCAAAATGGAAAAATATAACAAATTTATATCAAAATAAAAAATAGAAACAAGATTAAAAAAAATTTTATTAGGAATTATAATTCATTCAAAACTTAAAAAATTAACAATTTATCCATTTATAGAATTTCTTCTGAGATTTTGACTCAACTGTCGGTGGAATGTGCGACCATTTTCAAGCAGGTCCCAGGAGTATTTTACACAGCAACGAAGACAGTCAAAATTGGTGGTGTATCAAAAAAAATTCGAGCTTCTGGACGATTCATGAATCGCATAAATTATTTGAGAACTCTTCTCGCTGAAGATGGCTTATTAGTAAAAGCAACCTTAGAAGAAGTTAATGTCGATGTTGATGCTGATAAACAACCTGGTATTTTCACGATTATATATGTGTATAAATATAAATTTTGCATCCATAATATTATACAATATATTTAACAGATACAGTTGATGAATTACTGCAACTGATTAAAGCACCTTGTGAAAATGGACTTGATTGGGATGTACTCAAAAATGCTTGGCAGAAAACATTTTTTGCACGTCGTGAGATGTCAAAACAAAGTTTAAACGGAGCATTATGGCAGTGGGAAAAGTTGCCTTGTCTTGCAAAACATCGTGATTTGGTAAATTTATATTTATCTTTGGTATGGGTATAGTTTTTACAATTTTAAATGGACATAAAGGTATGCTTTTATATAGATACTGTTGGACTTCGAAAAATACTACGAAACTTCAATAAGCATTGTAGAAACTTGGACACAATTTCGAGACGCTTTAGTCAAATTCATTAGTTCACGACGTCTTGATGATGAATTACAAGAGCTGTTCAATAATATTGAATCGTTAACTGATGGTATATTATTTACATCGAAGAATTCAGTCGTTTATATTTAATTCATAATAATAATATCTATTACTGAAATTTGATTTTTAGATCAGAAAGACACAGTTCTGATAACCATTTTTCCGACAGCAATCGTTGCCCTATTAAAGCCAAATTCAAACAGAAAACCAAAGCGATTGAAACTTGACACAGACGAAGAAAAAAAGATCAAACTTGCTGATCGAGAAACGTTCATCTCAAATGTAGCGGTATGGTATATACTGCTTTCACTGTCCAAAATGTCCAATATACAGGGTATCTACTATTTTCGTTTAACAAAATTCTCGGCTCTGTTCTAATTTTTCCCGGCTTTTTTCTCATCAAATTTAAATTTATTTGATTCCGAACATAAATAAATCTCTTTAAAAGAATTAAATTATTTTTAATAGAAAGTAAAGAAATTTCAATTATTTCAAAAGTTTTCAATTATTTGTTTATAAAATTTAAATTATCTTGAAATAAAAGAATTTTAAAATTTCAAAAATCTTATTTTTCAGATTTTTCAAAAAAACATTGCGAAAATTCAATTTTATTAAAAAATTTTAATTATTAATCTTCACACTAAAAAACAAATACATTAGAATGTAACTCTTTATAAAATTCAATTATTAAATTAAAATACTTTGAAAATTCGATTTGTTAAAAAGTTTTTAATGAAATTCTTTAACAAATTTAATTATTTTTAGTTGAATTTCCCAAAATTTCTATTAATTCGATATTTTTTTGAATTTATTACATACTATATATTTGAATCAGTGACTGATTTTTTACTGTCAAATTAATTATTTATAAATACAAATTGAAATAAAAAGCGATTTTTTATAAACAAATTAAAATTATAATTTTTTTTAATTTGGTGAAAAAATTCCCGGTTTTGAACACAATTTCTGGCTTATTCCCGATCAAATTCATTTTCCTGTTTTCCCGGTTAGTAGACACCCTGAATATAATATTTTCTTTGAGTATTCTTTACACAATGTTTAAGCAATCCTTAAAAGTTTCGTTTTTATAATGTTTAATATATATACACAACTCATAAGGCATTTAATTCCATTAGGTTGATGAAGACGTAGATTCATTCGTGGAAAGGAAATTACAACAAACCCCCCAAGAACAAGGACCTTATGTCGTCATCACTGGCAATCTCAAAGATCCAAAAACAATATACTTAATCGTCAGAACTGTGAAATACGATTGTAAATCTATACCTGAAGCTTTCGATTTGGCTGTAAAAATTTATTTGGCATACCGGATTCCGTATCCAACCAAAAGTTCTCACGCATGGGTTCTTGTGCAGAAAATTATTTTGCGAATCAATAAGCCCGACGATAAGTTGCTTCAAGTAACTAAAAAAGCATTGTCTTTCTTCGTGAATGAACTGAAACTTCCCGGCGAGTAAAAAATCAACGAGTAGTTCTCACTTCGTAGTTTATTTGTTTGATCGTTATCGTATTTTATTAGTTGTTTACTTGTTTCAACTTTTGATTTTATACATTGTAAGGGCTGATATTGTGTAAAATGGATCCACAAATATTTTGTCAAATCTTAAAATTGCAGGCTGATTTAGTTGCCAGCAAATGGCTTAGTCAACCCGATTTAACAAGAACGCGAGCATTTGAGTTTATAGATGATATGACAAGCATTTTACAACAAAAATCGGTTACAAATTTAATTCATATAGTTCTCTTAAGATTATCTCAATTAGGAGAGAATTCACAAAATCTTCATGCATTTCAACGAATGTTTAACGATTTTCAAAACGTATTTGCTCATATCGATACAGAGCATAAATGTTTAGTTCATTTTGAAAAAAATTTAGGAACCTACTTTCCACCTGTAGAAGTTATTATCAACAAGGAAGATTTCTATAATAATCAAGCAAATATTTCCGATCCCGAAAATGAGAAGGTTTCTTTCCAATTTTTCCCTATTCGTGAAACTATTAAAAAATTTTTAGAAATTCCAGGAGTACTTAAAAGTACATTATCTTATCTTGCTGATCTGGAAAATGATGACTCTATATTGTTTAATTTTGTACAAGGTGAACGTTGGAAAATTATAAAACGTGATTATGAGAATCGGATTGTTCTTCCCTTATTTCTTTACTGGGACGAATATGAAACTAACAATCCACTAGGTAGCCATAAGGGAATAGGACAAATTGGTGCCGTTTATGTCGTTATTGCCTGTTTACATCCTCAGCTACAATCAAAGGTAGAAAACATTTTTATCTTGACATTGTTCAGATCTATTGACTTGGAAAAAGTCCCTCTTCGTATGTTTTTTACAAAGGGTGTAAATGAACTGAATTTTTTGGCAACTTCAGGAATACCTGTTTCCACTCCAGATGGTATTCAACAAGTTTATTTGGTTGTAGGAACTTGTATCGGCGATAATAAGGCATTTAATCAATTACTTGGTTTTACAACAGGTTTCACGGCTAACTACCCATGCCGATTTTGTCACGTGAAGAGTTCAGAAATGAGCACAATTTTAAAGGAATCGCAGTGTAAACTTAGAGACGAAACATCATACCAATCTGATCTGCTTGCAGATGATCTTAAAAAAACAGGTGTCGCAAGACAATCAGCTATATCTGATTTAAAATCTGGTTCTACCTTGGAACTAATAGGCGTTGACCCTGCGCATGATATTTTTGAAGGTATAGTTGAATATGATACTGGATTAATTCTTCACCAGTTCATTGAAATTGATGATTTCTTTACACTAACAGAACTTAATTCTAGAGTTCAAAATTTTGATTACGGGCCAAATGAAACGAATAAGCCACGTCCGATAAAATTGAACCAGATAAAAAACAAGCACATAAAAATGTCGGCTAGTGAAGCATTCTGCTTTATTCGAAATCTTGGTTTACTGATTGGAGATTTAGTACCACGTGCTAATGAACACTGGGATCTTTTTATTACTTTAAGAGAAATAATAGATATTGTCGTCTCACCAATTGTTGATGTTGACATATTGAACTACTTAGAAAGCCTAATAGCAGAATATTTAGGAAAGTTGACTTCTTTGTTTAAGGATTGCGTGAAACCGAAGCATCATCTTCTCCCCCACTATCCTAGAGTATCAAAGCGTTTTGGTCCTATATGGCATCTGTCAACTTTAAGATGCGAAAGTAAAAACCGAATTTCAAAATTGGCCGCTCATGCTTCACGTAATAGACAAAATATTACTAAGACTTTAGCTATTAAATCTCAGTTGCAGGCTTCTGACAGATTTTTGCGTAATGAAAATTTGGAATTGAAACTTTATGAATATCAGACTTCAGAAACTCTAAAAGTAACAGACTTGCCAAACATGCATTTGTATTTTCCTTTACTTGCTGATATTGAAGTACAGAACAACGTGAAACACTTACAGTCCATTTTACTTCAAGGTCGCAACATTTGTCAGAATGCAGTATTAATGATACCTGGTGAAAATGACCCAGAATTATACATTGTTTATATTATAGTTGAAGTTGAACCTCAAAAAATAATTATTATCGCAAAAAATGTGACTGGAAATTATTTATATGACCACCATTTCCAAGCTTACGAACTGTATTCTCGCGATTTAACTGATAGATTCAAATTTGTTCGACTTTCCAATGAAAAAATACAATCAGCTTATGTTTCATTTCTTAGTAAAAATAAGAATGGAAAACTGTACATCCCAAAGCGATGGATTTGAGTCGTTTAGGAAAATTATATTAATATTTATTTTCAACTTTAGAAACATAAAACCTACTCTTATTTCCGTTATATATTTTACAAAAACTTGAACTCTGATTCACAGCAATGTATTCTTTTGTAATAATGTTGAAATAAATTTTACATATATTTAAAATATTATTGTATTGCATTCGTTAAATTTTATTAAATGTGAAAATATATATTATACTTTTATTTTCTTTAAATACTACTACTCTATAAAATATATAATACATTATAACGTATTCACTATCATTTAATTACTTGTTTAATTTAATTTAATTATTGTGTTAAAAAAAAATTCGCGTTTAGATTGAAATAGAAAACACTAAAAATTAATATAATGTTTTATTAATGTATAGAATATAAGATATAATAATATCTAAAATAATAATTTCTGAAAGAGTTTTTTCTAAATGTCCGATTTATTTTCCCTAAAACACAATCTGTCCTTTATTCACTTAACTAGCAATATATTTTACTTTTACATCTAACAGTAAAATAACGACCGTTTACTTTAATTAATTCTATCTTTTATTGACATTATTATAACCTTTAATTATAATTGTTTTGAATTATGTCTTACGTCTGTTAAAGGCGGCGAGTTGTCATTAATGTCTGGACAGGAATGGTTCCTGTCCGGACATCGTTCACATCTGTCTGTTTCATTAATGTCTAAGACATTACTGAGTCCGTTCTGGACAGGAATCATTCCTGTCTAGAAAGCAAAGAGTACTGTCTAAATGAAAAAAAAATTTTGGACAGGGACCAGTCCTGTCCGGACAGCACCCAGTTATGTTTATTTTTCTCAGTGTAGAGTTCCCATATTTTGTAATATTCTCATACTAATTTTCAAATGGTAATTAGGTTCAATAATTCTTGCTCCCTTCTTTTTATTCATCATAATTTACTTATTTATTTATTCACAAACAAAATAAATAAATTAAAACTAATTTTCAATTTTTTTTAATGTTGTGTTTTGTTTTTTCTACTTTTGTGTGACTTTCAACATTCTAGTGAAACTTTGAAAAAAAGGTAATAGAAATAAACTACCGGGAGCTAATGAATAAGATTGACAATAAATTATAAGATGTTTTAGTACTCGAAAATAATCGACATTTAGTTTTCCTTGACGACTCATTTGCCAATTCTCAATCACATACTATTAGAGGACAGTCTAAAGATGTCTACTTTGTAATATGTAATTAACATTTTGCAAATCAATAGTGAGGAAGAGAAGTCACAAAATTTCAAAGCCCATTATTAATTATCTCTGTTTAATAACAGGTTTCGTTCTTCTCATCGATCCTTGTTAAGTAACCAGTGGGGATCGAGCATGACAAAGTTGCTTTCTGTAACTGGTAATATTTTTTCTCGCACATGAAAGGAGAGATTTGACGCGCTAACTGAACGCGCCTTAACGTTTCTTCTCTCTCTCTCTAGCGAGATGAGTGACAGCATTACGCGTCTTGTATGAATGCCCGCGCTTATTATAACAGTTGCGTCTGGAACCACTTAAGTGATATACGCATTGTATTGCGTTATATTCAATCCGAATAAATTTAATTATTAAACAGTTAAATACCACATTTTTATTTGACCACCCAACTTAAAGTTAACACTTAAATCTGTGAGGATTCCCTTCTGATGATTTTAGACATTGTTATTATTTTAAATAACCAAGAATCCCACATTGGTGACCCCGACGTGATCGGGTAAAACACGTTTCTTTTAAAATAAAGTTTATCCACTGAAATCGTGTCAATCAAGTACTCTATTAGTGAATGGTGCATAAAAATTCTCCGAACAAATAAGTGAAAAAGTTCGTAGAAAGAAAGTAACTTTGGACGATTAACGGCAACTTTATTTTCGGAGCACGTTTTTCAAAGGACGCCACGCCATGACACCGGAGGAGACGGCTTCATTTTCTACAAGCATTAACAGTTCTCCTAAAACATAATTTTTTTTATCAATTTAAACTCATCTCCAAAATATTTTTTTTACATTTTTTATATAAAAAAATGTTTTTATAAAATTGAGTTTTTACTCATTAAGTGGTCATTTCACAGCCTGGTTCCAGCCAACGTCAGACCGATTATCAGACTTCCTCAAGGTCACGGTCGTCCTGGTTCATCAATTACGAGGAAATCAATCATTCCTGACATCAGCTGATTCAATCCTAGTGAGTTGAAAAAAGTTGGCGGTTAAATTTAAACAATATAAGGCTTTGGAAAACGGCGCATGGGCAGAACACTTTAGCCAATGCAACAGGTGCTTAACGTTTTACTACCTGTGGCAGTAACAGTTATCCGCTTTTTTTAAATTTGGATAATTTTTTTACATGCTTCCCGCCTGATTGACGGACATCTTTTTAGAGAGAGCTCAGGCGCCAATACTCGAGTTCAGTGCTGTCACAAGGTTGGGAATTTTCTAAAAGGCGCCCAAAAATATACCAAGGGACAACATCACCGGAGCACACGAGGTCAACTGGTGTCTCTTTTTATCTCGGGTCCACAATTTGTAGGCATTATTCTACACATGAGTGGCTATTGTGTGAACCTCAGTCATGGTTTTACATAAACATTTTCCTATTTTTTTAAAACAATTTGCTTACGAAAAACAAACGATTTTTGAAATTGTTTTTAACAGTCCGCCATTTTGCTATTTATTAAGATAAATTGTTTATTGAGGTTTACACGATAACAGTAAGCCTACTGAGTAAAACTACGTTTGATTTTTTTATTTCAAACAATACTGAAGAAAGTTATCGTTGGGACCGTTCACCCGTGCATTTTCAAAGGAGTCACCTTTGACTCATAAAAATAATTATTAAATGATTTGAAAAATCACTAAAAATTTTTTTTTATATATTTCTAGACACCAATTATAACATGCAAAATAAGTTATAGAAATATATTTTACTTTCTGTGAAAAAAAATCCCTGAAAAAAGCCTAAAATTTCGGCCGTCACATAGGAAAAGTGCTTTAAGGGGGGCGCCTACTTTAGAAGGTAAAAAACTGCGTACATTTCAGGAATTTTTTTCTCAAACACATTTAAATAAATCGATGCGAGATTTAGTGTATGTTTTCTTATATATTTAAACCTTTGAAATATAATTTTTTCATTAAATGAAAATAGAATTTAATAATAAAATAAACGCCATATATATAACGCCTCGCTGCTAAAATTTTCCCATTGCGTACAACCTAGGGCCCACAATTCTTATCTAAAACAAAAAAACAAAATTTTTTCTATAAATATACATTATTGCCTCCTGTATGAATTAAAAGATTTCAATAGAAAGTAAAAACTGAAATTTTTACATGACTTTTAAAAAAAAATTTAATTTTTGCCAAAAAAAATCTCATTTTTTATTTAAAAGAAAGCATTAAATTTAACTCTATCAAAAACAAATTTAATTCATACAGAATAGACATTCTTCATCTTCAAAAGAAGCCCAAATAGACCCTTATCGGTTGATTAGATTTTTGTCTATCGTGTACGCAAACTACAAAAACAGTGTTTTGAGAAAAACGCGTTTAAAGATTGAAAAACATATATAAATGCTATTTCGCGGCCTCGATGAACGACTATTTTTTTATGTGTAGCTCTTGGATAAGAAGAGATTTTACTGATAAATGGTAATTTTAATGGTAGGTGTAATAGTAGATAAGCGCGACAAATTATGAAAAGTATTAGAGACCGCGAGTGGAATCGCGCGCCAGGCCAAGCGCCAGTCCACGCGCTTTATTGCGTTCTACAAGCTGTAACTCGAAAAATACTTTGTATTTTGACGTAATATTTTAAGAGCATATTCTCTTATAGTTGTACTTTCAGTTAAGACAACTTTTAAAAAATCGATTTTTTTGCCCCGATAAAGTAGGCGCCCCCCTTAAGGTGTATCTAAAGAGAGAAGCATTGTCCGACCTAAAAGTTAGTTTGTGTTCTTTTTTACAGGCTTGGTGTCATTTGACCTAATGAGCTGAAAATTGGTATACTAGTGTATTATTACAGTCTGACGACAAAAAATTTATTTAAGAAACTTTTTGAAAAAAAATTTAAAAAAAATTTTTTTATTTTTTTTTTTCAAAAAATTTTTTTTTTTAATTTTTTTTAGTTAAAACAGGTGGCATTAAATATTTTAAGAAAGAGTGAAATTTTAAGAGAATAAATGAGATTGTTTTCTCCCTTTAATTTCTTAACTAAAAAGAAAAAAAATTGGACAAGTGCGAGTTGTACTCGCACTGCAATGGCGGGTTCCGTACACAAATATTAAAACAATACTTGCAACATTTATCGGTAATTGGTAAAATTAAAATAAACAATTAAAAAAATATATTAAAATCATTTGATAACAAAAAATAACTACAAAAAAATTAAAGTATTGTATATCTAATATTGTGAATAATAATAGATATACAATACTTTAATTTTTTTGTAGTTATTCTTTTTTATCAAATGATTTTAATATATTTTTTTAATTGTTTATTTTAATTCTACCAATTACCGATAAATGTTGCAAGTATTGTTTTAATATTTGTGTACGGAACCCGCCATTGCAGTGCGAGTACAATTCGCACTTGTCCAATTTTTTTTTTTAATTTAGTGACTTAAATAACATAAGAATTGAATATATATAAAAAAATTAAAAATGTCGGATTAAAAATGGCGGGTTTAAAAAAAATTGTTCAGATTTCCTTGAAACTCGTTACTCGGGGGTTTTCGGGGTCGCTGATTACGAATATGGTGTTAGTTTATGAAAATTTAATATGTAGAATCCAATATGGCGGACAAAATATATTTAAATGCATGAAATCGATTGAAACTTGCTACTCCGTGGTGATTTTCGAGGTCGCCGACGACGAATCTGATGTTGGATTTTAAAAATTAAAAATTTTTCATTTGTTATAATCCAGAAATGGTTTACTGTAAATGTTTAACTAAAATTTAATCGCATTTCTGTGATACTACACTCTCAAAAAGTTGTTGACCTATGTAGAATTAGTTTCCGTGCTTATTTATTTTCTTATTTTCTATTTTTGCGACTAGGAGACCTCCCCGTGGTGAAGGTCATGGCAAAAGTAGGAAAGAAGTATCGGCGGCTGGTCAGGTTGAGAAAGTGGGACTGCAGGCGTCATCACACAACCGCAATGTTTTGCACGATTGTATAGATAATTCCAACTGTTTCTGCTAGGTTTGCAGTAAGTTTGTGGCTCCAAAAAGTCGTAAAAAAATCAATGTTAAAATTAAAGAAAATTATAAAAAAGGTTTTAATATGGAATTTCCAAGTTTGAATGAACTTTGGATTCCTAATGACATGTGAAACAGTTGTTACCTTATGTTGAATACATTGGAAGAGGGTAAAAATATAAAGTATAAATTGCCTACTGTTTGGCTAAAACCTAAAAATTGCAAGGATTGCTACTTTTGCAACACGAATCTTAAAGGGACAAACAGCAGGAAGAAAAAAGCAATTCGTTATCTTGAAACAGCTTCAATAGTTTACCCGGTATTAAGAAATATAAGCATTGATAATGTTGAAGACAATAAAGATTTTGATGAAGACCATTCGATCGTTTATTGTCATGATGTAAAGGGTCTAATGAACAAATTAAAGCCTAACGTTTACCAGGGCCGGCGGAACCTATATGGAGACTATGGAGCACTCCATACTCTGCCGTGGATAGAGTATGGAATTCCATAGACTAAAATCATGACACATTTTATTAATAAATATATTTTTCCAAGAAAAATTATTGAAAATAAGTTGTAGGATTCACAAATAAAGATAAATTGTTTTTGTAATGTAATATTGAATAAATTATATCAGTCAACTAAATAATTTAAGTTTTTAATTTTACCTTCCCCCCCCCCCCCGGTCATCAGTTATAAGAGCCATTGAACTCCATAGTCTAAAAAATTTAGTTCCGCCGGCCCTGACGTTTACAAAAATGATGAATGGCGACTGTTTATAGACGCCCCAAGCGAAGTCTTAAGGCTGTTTTTTTTATACAATACAAATGTGTATGCGCCAGTTCCAGTAGCACATTTAGTAATTTTTAAAAAATTATAAAAACGTGATGCTTGTTTTCGAGAATATTAAGTATAAGGATCACAACTGGCAAATTTGCGGAAATCTGAAAATTATAACGATGTTGCTCGGACAACAAAGCGGATTTACCACATTTTTTTAATAATGTTTACTGTGTTTTACAGTTAATAATAATCTAAAGATAGTTTATAATCTGTCTAACATTGTACGAAGTTTGTTATAGTTTTTTTAAATCTTTCTGAATTAAATAAATCTACTCATATTATATTACCATATAACTGAAGCGTTTCTTTATTTTTCTACAACTAATACAACTTTTTCCTTTTTATGTCTTTTCAATATAAAATACCGTCTAATCGGAGGTACTGAATTAATAGTACACTTAAAAAGGGGATCGTTTACTTTTTCAAAAATAATAATTATTTTCTGAAGAATTAAACGTTTATCTTGGGGTGAATAAATATTAAGTCTTTTAGTTTAACTTATCGAAAATTACTTTTGATACAGTTAAGCCTGAATTCGCTTAATATATAGATTTTCTTTGATAATATTAATCAGAATAATCGAATTCATACTTAACAGACTGAATTTCAATTTATAAAAATATCCATGTAGGAAAATATGAATGAATAGAACATATTCAGTTGTTTAGAGTTTTTTTCAGTATTCGTTTTAAAAAATAAAAATTTTGCTTAAATGAAATTTTAAGTACATAAAAGTTTATATAAAGGGATTATAACCTAAAAAATTTCCCAATTCTCAGAATTTGTATATGGTAGTATTTCTATATTATACAATTATGTAGCGTAATATATTTTTTGTCCTACCTGCACGGAAAGTATGTCATTTCGGGCACTTAAGGCGGGCGCAAAGTAACACATTACGCCCGGGAGTGGGGGAAGCGGGCGGAAAAGTATTTTGCGCCCGCTTGTATGACGTCAGCGGGCGGTAAAGTATTTTCCGCCCGCTTGTTAATTATTCGATTTTCTTCATTAAAATGCGACATTTTCGACTTTCTTTTTGTGTTGACTATAAAACTGCAAACATTTTCAACTTGTTTTATTTTGTCTATAAAAATTTGCAATTTTTTTTTATTTTCTCTAAAAAAATAATGAGACATTTGGTTTTGTTCCCATTTCGTTTATCAAAATTGTCAATTTTAAAAGTTCTTGTTTCAGTTTTGTTTAATTATTAATTACTACGTTCTAAATAAATACTATGTTTCCAGAATACATTGTTTTTTATTTCTATTTTAAAACTTCTATCATTATAGACTTCATTCGATATAATGTTTATATAGAGCTTAATTTTTAACTAATATGAGCGTTTAATCGTGCGTGCCCTCTATGCCATACTTTCCATGCAGTTAGGACAAAAAATTATGTTCGCATCATGGGCGCAAAGGTGATTACGACTTTGGCGGAATTTCGGGACCTCGGGGACACTTTCGCTCCCTCGGCTTCGCCTCGGGCGCGAAATTGTGTCCCCTCGCTCCCTTCATTTCGCCATCGTCGCAATCACCTATTTTGCGCCCTTGTTACGAAAATAACTATTTTTTTATTTGGGAAAAACAATTGACTTTAAAAAAATAGCTCATTTTTAAGGAATGAAAAAATTGTAACCTTGAGTGGACCACTCTTAAAAAATTGTAAAAGTTAATCTAAATTCTTTAATATTTAATATTTCTGATATATTGAAACAAAATTTATGCTTATGCAGCTTCAGACCATGTTTGTATCGCAATGTTTACAAGTGAAACCATTTTCAATAATTTTGGCACATATCACATCAAAATCACAAAAAAATTAATAAAGAACATAAAACAGTTTTAAACTAATTTATTGTCAATTTTTTTCCATAAAAATGGTAAACTGACATTAAAAATATAAAAAACAGGCAGTCCAGTCATGGTTATAAACAGTGGTCCACTCATGGTGACATGCAACTTTTTATGGCAGACACCAAAATTTTTTTTTGAGTCAAAATTATCACTTAATTAAACTAAGACAATCAATTTCAATGTCCAAAGTAGTAGGAAAAAAATAAGTTACCTTTTAAAACTTAAATTTTACACTACTTTTATTTTTCCGAATCACTTTACTCATTGTAAGAGCGACTTCTTTTTTGGATTGTGTTCTTAAAAATGCGTTACATCAAACAATAACGTGTATAATTATCGCGGAACATAAATTCTTACTGTTTCTAGGTGCGGTGCTGCTATTCGTTTTATTTATTTCACGTTTCCGCTGTCAGATAACTTAAAAACTCAGGTGGTCCACTCAAAGTGGCGGTCCACTCAATGTGACATTACCCTATTTAATCAAATTTTTATTTAACCATATTTGTAGTTAACCGAATTTTCGCATGAGTGAAGTTCCGAAGTACCGAATTTATAAAACATAGAATTTTCAAAACGTCGAATTTCTAAAGCATTAAACTTTTAGAATGTCGAATTTCATTTGTCCTAACTTCTTTGTCGCTATAGAATTCTCATAAAGAACTTAATAAACAAATTTTAAAAGTTTTAAATAAATGATTTATTTTAACTTAACTTTAATTAAATTTGTATTAAAAATAATATAAATTCTGCAATGAGTTTTATTATTTTACTTAGTATTTACGAAAATAATTTAATCTCTGTAAAAATGTTATTATTAATGAAAATAATTGAATTATTGCGAAGAACTTTAATAAATTTTTTTAAATAATTGAATTCTTGCGTAGAACTTTATTACTTTTGAAAATAAATTAATTTCCGCAATAATTTATAATTTCTCTAAAATTCTTCAAATTATGTCGAACTTTACAGACCTTTATATTGTGCTGTTATTTTGTTTGGATTTATAATTTTAGTGTCATATTATATTGTTTGATAAGAATCCATAATCTTAATTATTTAAAATATGTTATTTATGAGCTTTCACCCGTCGACGACAGGCATCCTCAGATATTCAAAACTAAAATACATGTAATATAAATACATGTAATGGAGCTCTCACAGCTCTGCCTGCCTGCGCAGGCAGTAATTGGAGTAAGAGAGAAAATCAATTAGAGTGAAAGAGACAGTAAATTCAAATTTGTATGCTGCCTACTAGCTGTGAGAGCGCCTTAAGTCGTATGTTATTTAAAAAGAGCGCGAATATATAAATGTTATTTTTGTTAAGAGAAAGTTCTCATAATAAATCTTATTTTGAATTGTTAAAAAAATCGTCAACATTTCAAATATAAATAAGCAAATTATTAACTAAAAAAATTTGAATATTATAATGTCTGTATTATAATTAATATTATTATTAATGAAATAATGGACTTGGACAATGGACGTAAAAAACCAGCACCGTAGACGGCCGCTTGCGGCCGTCGGAGCTAGTACTGCAACCAAATGCGATCTGAGATCAAATGGAGTATTGTCCTTATTCTTTGAAAAAACTTTAAATGGATCCTTCTCATAAGACAAAACAACCCTAACGTTATACGCGTTATACAATTCTTTCAAAGAATATTGTAACTCGTTCACATATGACAAAACAACTCAATTTGTAGTATCAAAAATCTGTCTATGTACCACATTATCGTTTACAAGAAACCAATAACGAATATTTATATATTTATTAAAAAAATTCTAGGATAATCATTTTCAATTAATATTTTATAAATAAAATTTAAATTTTCTGTAAAAAATTTTTGGTCCGACAGTTTTATGGCCCTGTCTACCAAACCATAAATGATTGAGATTTTATCTTTAAAGGATACATTAGAATTATAATTTATGTATTTACCAGAAAAGGTATCTTTATGATACCAATTCGTTACAATAGAACTATTTTCTCTGATAAGAATGGTGTCCAAAAAACTAATGCGATTAATATTCTTGAATTCAATGGTAAATTGTAAATAATTATTATAATCATTTGTAACAATTCGTTATTGTTCTTAATCCTTATGGGAAGGAACTTATGATCAGGATAACCCGGGGTGAAGAATGACACAGATGATTAATAAAAATAATTTTGTTTTTATTGAATAATCTTCTTAGCGACGATCCTGGTACTCATAAAAATAAACTTAGGACAATAGTTTTGATAAGTCACTTAATTAGAGTTCGTGTCGGTAAATAAGTGACCAAGTAGGACATTCGATGGGCTCCTTAATGCAAGGAGTGAAAAATGTTATCACTCGACGACATGACAGTTCAATCACAAGTAAGTTACAGCGTTTAGCATTTACAGGTAAGTTCATCAACTAACGAAAATCTTTCATTTCAGGTTGCTTATAGCATTGGAAAACGAAAGTCTAATAAACTAAATTTGGAATTTTTAGGTAAAAAAGAAGTGAACTAAATAAACAGACAGACCTTTTTTCAAAAGAACTCTAACGGACTTGAAACAAATTTACAGACCTAGTTCGAGCCCTGTTTTTGTTATTAATTAATATTAATAATATAATATTAATTATATATATAGGATAATATAAATATTATACAACATATTATATGTATTATTTTAAATCAATAATATAATTAATATTAATATTCATTAATATTTATTATTAAATCAAAGGTGCTGAATGTGAAATACTAACGAAGGATAAAACTTTTGAGGGGATTTTTTGTATCACCAACAAAATGAAGACAGCTATGGAGGCCTATCCTGAATTTATTGGGATAGATGTTACATACAAACTTCTGAATTTAAGAGCACCTGTTTATTTAGTAATAATTGAAAATTCTCAAGGTGATACGGAAATTGTTGCTGCAGGAATTTTAATGCATGAAAATCACATAAACGTGAAATGGTTTATAGAGCAATTTAAAAATAAACATCCGTCTTAGGGCAAAATTATCACAATAATGGCTGATAAGAATATTACAGAGCGCGAAGTAATCAAAACGTCCTTGCCAAATGCAAAGTTGTTAATTTGCGTTTTTCATACGCAAATTCTTGAATAATAATAAAAAAGTAGCACATTTAGAAATTACAGGTAAAAATAATGATTACAATAAAAAACATAAATTAAATGCAGAAGACAGAGTTTGTTTTAATTGTAAAAAAAGGTCACATTAAACGAAATTGCAGGTACTTATTACAAAATAACCAAATAAAATAATACAGATACCCTTCAATATCTCCTTACAATTCAGCATTGTGGATTGTGCATAAAAAATCCGACTCTAACGTCAATAAACGATAGCGTATGGTCATTGATTACAGAAAACTTAACGAAAAACAACAGGTGATTCTTATCCCCTGCCAGAAATTGTTGACATAATCGACCAATTAGGTAGAGCAAAATATTTTTTGCAATGTGTTTTCACCAAATTCCATTGGACTCTGAATCAAAACATAAGTCTGCTTTCTTGACACCTTTTGGGCATTTCGAATATAATCGTATGCCATTTGGTTTAAAAATGGACCCAATCACTTTCCAGAGACTCATGGATCAGGTCCTTTCAGGCCTTCAAGGAATTGAGATGTTTGTCTACATGGACGACATCGTTATTTTTGCCTCCTCAATCTCAGATCACACTAGAAAATTAAAAATATTATTAAATAGATTAAAAACAGCTGGATTAGCTTACAACCGGATAAATGTCTCTTTTTAAGAAAAGAAATAACATATTTTAATTTTATCTTTTGACTTTTTACACTTTTTTACATTTGTTCCTTTATTCTTTTTGTTTGGCTGTAAATCCCGCTTTGACGTCAAAATAGTTTTAAATTCTAACTATTGACGCAGAAAATCCGCAAGAAAAGAAAAAAATCACATTAGCGACAGAGCTGGAGCGGCGCCCTCGAAGGCTAAAATCTTACGACAGTTTGGAAGGTGGGTAAAGGGCTCCAAAATAAGGGTTACGGGTTTTAGTGGGTCGGGGCTGGCAGTAGGCCACCAGGTTATTAAACTTAATACTATTTTATTTTTTTGTATTATATTAACCCCACATGACCTTGGAGTCCGGAATCTAAGGTATCTGTATGCAAATTTCCCAAAACTCTCTAAGCAAAAAAGGAGAAAATTATAATACTTAAGTTGAATATAAAGAAAATTAAAGAATCGTTATTAATTATCTTGACTAGAAGAGTTGACCAAAATCTTCAAGAAACAATAAATTTTATTATAATCTTCAGATTAATTGTAATTTATCAAATAAGTGTGCATTTCGTTTTCTGAAAAAATAAAAATGTGTACTTTAGAAACTATATTTAACGATTCTCGATTTAGAAAACTAGAACTGAACTGTCCGCAAAATGGTGTCTCTAGTGTATAAAATATAATTAATATTAGTAATTAATAGTAATAAATATTAGTAATTATTATTAGTAATTAATATTTTTTCTCTCTTTTTATAAGAATTCATTTCCTAATAAGACCTGACACTTTTTCTGTGCAAAAGTGTAAACATTGAATATGACATTTGAATTATCTGCAAAAATAATAAAACCATGTAAAAAATTGCGTGCAAGAAATTCTTTTTTTAGAGATGTGCAAAAAGCTCGCAGCTCGGGGCTTGATCAAGCTTTTTCGAGCTTTTCATTTTTCGAGCCGCGCCAAGCCCAGGGCCGGCGGAACCTATATGGAGACTATGGAGCACTCCATACTCTGCCGTGGATAGAGTATGGAATTCCATAGACTAAAATCATGACACATTTTATTAATAAATATATTTTTCCAAGAAAAATTATTGAAAATAAGTTGTAGGATTCACAAATAAAGATAAATTGTTTTTGTAATGTAATATTGAATAAATTATATCAGTCAACTAAATAATTTAAGTTTTTAATTTTACCTTCCCCCCCCCCCCGGTCATCAGTTATAAGAGCCATTGAACTCCATAGTCTAAAAAATTTAGTTCCGCCGGCCCTGGCCAAGCCAAGCCTAATCAGTTCGAGCTCAAGTTGAGTTCGAGCCGAGCTGTGCAAAAAGCTCGAATAAATTCGAGCACTCGAATTTTTTCAAGTACTCGAACGTTTCGAGTACTCGAATTTTTTCGAGCTCTTAAGTAAATTCGAGTTCTAGAGAAAAATCATATAATTTTCTCATATATTATAATTAGCAAATTGGAATACACTTTGAAATTGAAGATTTATTGACTTTATTGATTCAGTAATTCGCATAAATTCGAAATTTTCTACTTATTGATAGTTTTTTTGTCATTTAAAAGCTCGAATCCATTCGAGTACTCGATTTCACTCGAGTACTCGAAGTCACTCAAATACTCGGCTTGCAAAAATTTCGGCTCGGAAATTCGAGCTTTTTGCACATCTCTACTTTTTTCTAATTTGTATTTTAATGAACAAGAAATTTACTTTCTTAATATTCAAAAATATATATTATTTTATAATTAATGATAAAAACTAATTACACTACCGTCGGGAATTATCGGTACGGCTGCACACGCACGGCCCAAAAACATACTAATCCTTAAATCACGATTTTTTTGTAAATACAAATGTCAGAAAATTAACAAATATACCATTCGAAAGATTATTAAATTCTACGGTTAATGGTACATAACTGAAAATTTTAATAATTTATACAAAGATTGCAGCAATCGACAAATTTGACCAAAAAATTTCAAAAATACAATTTTTTTGGAAATTTTTTCAACCCCTGCACATTTTTTAAAAATTGTAGAAAAAATTTGAAACTTACATAAGTGTGATCATTCAAATATCATCTTTAATTTAAGACCAAAAGAGTTTAAAAATCTTATTCGGTTCGTGAGATATCATTATAAACGTTCGAGCATGTTTTTTGACAAATGCATTGAATTAGTCGATTTTGAACGGTTTTTGGATGAAAATGCTCGGTCGTTTATAATGATATCTCGCTAACCGATTAAGATTTTTGAATTCTTTTAGTCTTAAATTAAAGATGAGACTTGAATGACCACACCTATATAAGTTTCAAATTTTTTCTGCAATTTTTAAAAAATGTGCAGGGGTTGAAAAAATTTCAAAAAAAAATTGTATTTTTAAAATTTTTTTGTCAAATTTGTCAATTGCTGCAATCTTTGTATAAATTATTAAAATTTTTAGTTATGTACCAGTAATCGTAGAATTCAATAATCTTTCGAATGGTATATTTGTTAATTTTCTGACATTTGTATTTACAAAAAAATCGTGATTTAAATATTGGTATGTTTTTAACCCGTGCGCGTGCAGTCGTACCGATAATTCCCGACGGTAGTGTACTTTAAAAAGTAAAAAATATTATTAAAGAGAAAAATGAAACTTACTGACATAAACGTTGGAATTGTCAATTTAATAAGAAAAGTAGTAGAAACAACGAGTGGTCTTCGTGTTCTAATCATAATCATGTACAGATCTCGTTTGTAGCGCGTATTTAATTTCCACCAGTTTCCCATGTAAATTGCTGTACATAAATTTTCATTCTGAAATTTATGAAAATATTCAAATCAAAGCTAAAAACAATAATATTGTGAATATTACAATAAATTTAATTTAAGAGTACTTTCTGGTCAAGAATTTCAAAAATAAATTTTTTTCTTAAAAATGTTTATCATAAAATTATTGATCTAAAACATTTTCTAAGAAAAACGTAAAAAAAATTTAAAAATGGTCATTTTTTACTAATTTTTATTATTAAACCAATTTATACTATTTTGATAAATTCAACAAAACAGTAAAATAACAATTACTTGAAGATATAATTCATTGCCCTGAAAGGTGTAAACAAAAATTTGATACGTCATGCACAAGACGTAGGCAAAATTTCCTATAAATTCCACTGGTGTAAATGTTGTAGCCTTAAATAAAGATACATTTATTTTATTATGAATTCGTTCAAAAATGCTTTGTTTTAAATTTATGGTTTACATTATGTAGTAATAAATGTGTTTTATGTTAATTCTAAACGTAAAAATCTATCCAATAGATTATGTGACCGGGTCTGAGAAAAGGACCCTACTGACCAAAATATCGATTTTTTTTCATGATGGTTTCTTATAGTTTAAGGTCCTAGAAATACACTACAATCAGTCCCGATTGTTAAAAATTTTTTTTTGCAATTGTTTAAACAAATTCAATAAAAAAATTTTTTTAAATTTTTTTTATGAAAATATAAGTAATTTTAAGACAAAAATCACTCTTGGTTGTCTAAGTGTCAAGAATATTTCCTCTTAATCTTAAATTAAAAGCCTAAACGGATTCAGTATAAAAAATACTTAAAGAACACTCGTCATGTTATTTTAAAATGTAAAATGTTTTAAAAAATCTAATTTATTTGTATAGAAAACTTTAAACGCGTTTATCTCGAAAAGTTGATTTTGGTAAGAAGGACCCTTTTCACAAACCCGGTCACATATGTCATGCAGTACAGCCATCGTAGTCGTGTACAGCAAGTAGACAGAGAACGACTGACGTCGACGCATGCTACTTGCGCCGCTCGCTCTCTTTCCCCCCATCATCTCTCAAACCACCATATACTACTTAACTTCGTTGCACGACTTTATTCCGGTATTCGACTGCTAACTCGTCTCGAGGCGCTCCTCACTGAGGTTCCACCATGTAAGCAGAATCGTGAGTCGCTGCAAGTGTCGTACCCCCACCATCCAATCTACTCAATGCACACCCATCTTATGACATCAGGAGAGAAAAGCATTGAGTAGATAGGATGGCAGGGGTACGACATTCACTGCGACTCGCGATTCCGCTTACATGTGGAACCCCAGTTTCCTTTTCCCAGGTGAAAAGAAAAGCCTTTCTTTTACTTAAGGTTTAGCAACGGAGAAGATTTCTTGTCTCAAGGTGCACCCTGAATTATATTTCGAGTCTCGTTTTCGTCAAATTCATTCAAGGAGAAAATTCCTACTACGAATTATATTTATATTTCTCTAAGGACTACATTACGTCGACATCAACTTCAAATCAATAATTCGGTTACTCCTTGACAGAAGGGTATTTTATCTAAACACCTGGACTCCGGACCTTTCACTTTGACTGGTACCTAAGATAATACTCCTAGATCCAGCGAGATTTTGTGGAGGGGACTCGCGATGTATACAGCATACTACATAAACCACTATATACACTGCAAAAACTGGAATCTCACTCGTGTCTTAAAATGAGTTGCTTTAAGTCAGGCCTGCACACTGGAGCAGCTCGAGAGCACGAGGCGATGAGAACAGTCCCCCACCATGCAGGCTTTCTTTACCTCTCTTGCATGGTGGGGACGGTTCTCATCGCCTCGTGCTCTCGAGCTGCTTAAACCATTGAGATAAAAATCTGTTTTATATTGAGACATTTAATTTCATCTCGTGTCTTATTTTAAAACATTAAAGGTGACTCAATGCGTATAAGACACATAAAACGTCTTCTTACTGTGAGACGGATACCCAAAACCCATATTGTGTCTCAAAATGAAGTGCTAAATGTGTGAGACACTTTGTAACGTCTTTTTTTTGTAGTCGGAAGTGGAAAATCTGCGAATTCAGATAACTAGGTAAAGAATCCTTGGTTATGTGGGGATGATCGCTTTTGTTTTGGTCGACCCACTAAAAACCACTCCCGTATTAATCTGGACTATTATTCAACCCACGGAACTACCTATTGGCTTCGAAGTTCGTGTGGTGAAGGTCCTATTATGTCGCTTACGCGACGCTTTTGTGCCGTTTTTTCCGCACTATTTATTCTTGGCCTCCTCGAGAGCAGACCTAAAGACTCCGCATGCCCCGCAGCCTGCGACATGGTTCACATCAACCTTATCGCAGTGCTTTTCTTTGCATAAGAAGCAGGTTGGGCTTCTTTTGCAAGACGCAGACTTATGACCGGCCTCACCGCACCTAAACCACGCAGCCGATCTGTCTACCGCCTTACAACCTCTTCCTATGTGGCCGTATCCCAGGCACCTATTGCAACTGACAACCAAACATCTTTTTCTGATTGGACACGACATAAAGCCCACCTTTACGCGTCCTAACTTTTTAAGCCTTGCAGCTTCTTCTAAGCTTGTGACCACGATAGAAAACTTTAAGCCACGCGTGTTGGGCCCAAGGACCGTCACCTTTCTACAGGATGGTGGTGCTCCCAAAATCTGCACCAAGGCTTCCTGAACTTTGGCGTTGTCAGTAAGACAGTCCAGGTCACGGATCTCTAGTGTAACCTTTCGATCCGCCATCTGCACCTTGCCAAGCTCACCCATAATCCTTGTCACCTCCTCGGCAAACTTCTTATTTCCTAGTGAGCCTTCAATTTTTAAAAGAAGGTCACCTTTCTTTGTGGGCATTGCTCTCACCACTCTTGTCTGGCTGGCATTAGGTTCAGCTTCTCTTTTGAGCTTTCCTAAGACGTCAGCATAACTAACAACTTTAGCTACCTTTACAACCATAGCTGATCGTAGCGGCAACCTAGGTACTTTACTGTCTTGGATTTCGTTAGAATCCCTGTCAACTTTACGTGCAGACAGTTTAGGAGGTTTCATCTCCTTCTTCAACTTCTTCTTCTTCTTAAGGTCCTTCGACGCTTCAGGACTGCTTAATCTTCTTTTTTGGGAAACCGTAGCAACGTTTTTTAATGCAATAGCATTAAATCTATCTCTTCTGAGTCTACGGTCCTGTCAAGCCTCCTCTGACCAGACCAATCCTTGATAGAGACGTTCATCCGTCCTCTTCGCTTCGTCGTGCCTTTCTCTCACCTTCTGAATGAGCGATTTAAGACTTTTAAGTCTCTCCTTAATTGTTATGCTAACATTCTTCTGGATCTCGCAGGTCTTAAGCATCTTACTGACCTCCTGAGCAATTACATGCACGCTGCATCTTCTTTACGCAGCTGAATACATATGTCTCTATCTTTGTTGAAGCTTGCGATGTCAAGAGCAAATGCCTTGCTGTAGACAGTGTAATGAATGTTAAGGGTGTGGATTGCTCGTCGGTCAGGGTTCGTTTAAGAATTTTAACATTTTAATTACAGAATCGAATTTCAAAAATATATTTACAAAACAACAAAGCGATAAAATGTGAGATACAAATAATGAGTACAGAAATTGACTAAATTCGTCCGCGCGGAGACGAGAAAAGAACGTAAACGTAATATCGCGAATATTAACGAAGTACATAAAGCGACATAAATTCGTGCGTTAACCGTGATTTCGACGGCGTTGACGATTAGTTTAATTTACAAAAAAAAACATTAACGTGCGAGACGCGGATTTCCGTAAAAGAGTAACGCGGCGAGTTACAAAACGATAACATAAAGCAAACACGGATTTTAGTATAGTAACGCGACGAGTTACAATACAATAAACGACATTTCGGACAACGACGACTTTCGAAACGGCACCGAACGATTTCATGGGAGAGCGCGTTCCTACCCGTGAGGTAACACCTCTTTATCTCCTATGCGGTGATACCGCTTGCGGTGATACCGCTTGTGGTGAAACCACTTCGATCTCATCGTGGTAATACCACATCAGAGACCCTATCGCGGTAATACCGCTTCGAGAAGTGAGGATCTCGGACCGTGCATTCGGGGTCCTCGATTCGGTGCGTCGTGGAGAGAGAACTTCTCGCTCGCCATTGGTCGGAGTCTGAGCGCACGCGCACAATCGGCACTCAGGAGCGTACAACAAATTTTATGCGTCGGGTATAAACACATATTTTAAAAACAATAAAACAATAATATTTTGATTTCGCTTCTATATCGTCACAACAGAAACGCAGCTGGCCTGACTCGCCACACTGCTCGCACTTCCTCGTCTATCTACTCGGTCCTTTAGTAAAAAGCCCCGCCACCACGGCAAAGTCTACCGAACATATCCATGATGTCAATCATGTCTGGCAGTGGATAAGTATCCACTATTTCCAGCACATCGAAGACATCGGTGATGTTCGGCAGTGGACAACCATTGGCGGGAACTTTGTAACGTCTTAAAATGAGACACATATCTGTTTCAAATATGTGGACACAAGAACATCTTATGTGTTTCAAATATAACGTCTCAAAATAAGACACTTCTCTTTGCAGTGTAGTGATACTCCTTTCGACGATTTGAAGGTTTCGGAATTTTCCGAAGAATTACAAAATTGAAAATTTAAATGACGTTGGGTTAGTAATCAAGTCTACATGAAGATAACAACGCCGCCCAAGATTTTAGTGGAGTAACGAATACCTCGCCGTATCTGAGTGTATTATATTAGCTGGAACAAAAGCAATTTGAGGGAAATCTACTGCATTTTCTGTTTTCGCTAGACAAAGTCATTTCCTCGACCTCACACTTAAGGAGGTATCGCTTGTAAGGTCTACGACTCTAAGAATAATTTATTTAAAAAGTAAGTATAATACTTTTAAATTTTTCCCTATTTAAATTCTCAATTGATTCCACAAAGTTCTATTTTGTTTCAGTGTCCCTAAAGACATCTGGATCTACTTTTTCTGTCTCATTCTAATTGTAAAGGATTCAAATAAAACTTTAATAATTAGATTTCAATTTAACAGTTTCTCTTTCTTAAAACCTGTCCTTTAAAATTAGAGCCTTCCGCTCTGTGAATAATTCAGGTATGAATCATCGATGCCGGACAATTTAAATATGCAATTTAGGATATATAGGTTTTGTTCTGAAACATAACACAATAGACATTTCTTTCGAAGGTATAATTATCGCGTCGTATTTCTAGAATTCATAATAACTACCAAAAATAAAATAAAAATTATATTTATCTTTAATAAAGCGTAAAATACCTGAGATACATAGAAAGTCGATAAACAAATAACAAAGCAGCTCAAAAGTAATTGTAATCCAACGACTCTGCTAAATATGTTTTCAATTTCAGTTACAAAGCTATAAACAAATGAAAATTATAATGGAAATTTAAGCAATAATTATTTCTATAATTAAAAATTAATATTTCAAAATTACTCAAATATTGCCAAATTATGTTGTATATAACTGCGAATTTGATCATTAATTTTTTTATATTTATATATTTTCAATTCATTTTCATTCAAGTTTGATGAAATATTTTCCTCCTCAATATTATTTGCCAACGATGAGAAATTCCATTTTAATATTTCAAATTGACACGAGGCCACATTTATTAAGCCGGCAATAAATGAATCAATTGCTAAATTATTAATGCAACATAAAAGAATTGCAATTCCCTGAAACAAAGAATTTTAAGTATAAAGATGTAAATTATATTAAAATATTCTAATAAAAATTTTTGACAAAAAAAAATTCTTTAAACAAGTTTTCAATTAGCTTAGTGGTAAATCACTGTAAATAAAACGTTCTAAATTAGAGCTGATTTTTGGTATTAAAATAGAACCAAATGACGATTTACTACCCAAAATTGGTACTGAATTAGTACCTTTCTTTTTACAGTGATGTATTTATTCATTTAATTAAAATAAAATTACATTAGGTTCGGTTCTCTTTCTTGTCAAAGAATGATTATCTTTTTCCAGGAGAAATAATTACACAAATTCATGTTTTATGTAAAAATATTTAAGAAAAATTATAGTTCAAATAAATTTTTTTTGTTTACTAAATAAACAATGGAAGCAAAGTTGAGAAAAATAAATATAAAACCTGATGTGCCCATGTTATAATGAAGGCAAATGCGCCAGTTGTATCGTAAGGATACCAAGCATCTAATGGCAACTCTTTTTCCTTATTTTCTTTATCATTTATAATAATGTATAATGGAACTGATGCCCAGAAAAATACAGCAAAAAATCCAAATATTTGATAAACACCATGATGAAATATTCCCTGCCACGCGTACCACGAAACTATTCTTTCATATCTTAAATATAACACAAGTTTTATTAGCTATAAATTTTCAAGTATTTTTTTTCATTATTATTATTACTATTACTATTATGTCATTTTCATTAATAATAATCCTTTTTTTATTATTTGCTTAATTATAATAGTTATTTTGTTAATCATAATATAAGTAATAATAGCAAAAATAATAATATTAATACTACTAAAAAGTTTAAAAAAATTTAAGGAAAATATTTAAAGTTTGTTAAATCTACCTTACGTTATCTTTGGAAAACATGGGACTGTCGATAATTGAAAGAAGCTTATATATTCTTCGATGATATCGAATAATTGTTATAAACTTCAAACATATTAGAAAAATTAAAAATATTTTTATTTTTAAACTTTTAAATATTTAAAAACTACTGAGTTATGATTTAAAAATTTACATACTTTAATACATTGTTTATATATTTTTATTATTTGAATTTTTTTTATTTTATAGTTATATATTTTTATTCTCTATTTATTAAATGCTTTTTATTTTGCTTCCTTATAGAGGATGGATTGTATTAGCAGAATTTTCGATTGTGATTTTTTGACATATTTTAAGTTTATTTTATTTACATTTGTTTATAAATTATTTTCTTAATTTTTGGTATACATTAAAAATTTTAATTTTATATTTAAAAATAATTAAATAGGGAAAGAGCGCCGGTTGTGGGCACACCCCTACCTAAACTTCGACGGCAAGCAGACTTTACTGATCTAAGTAATGCAAGTCGTGTTCGTTGACAATACGGACTTTTCGTATTGATAACGAAACAAATATATGCATTTGTGTAATAGCTGTGAGCATAATAAAGAAAATTTGCATTAAATAAATAAAAAAGTAATTTTGTGTTGTTTCCGAAGAGCAACATATGGGTGTAGATTCGTTCAGAAAAAAAGGGTTTAATTTTTTTTGCAGTGTTGTCATAATATTTTGTGATTTACCTTCGTGTTTAACCAAAATCCTGCATCACAAAATGTGTTGGTCTTTTTAAAAAATGACTGTCATTCCCGGTTGTAGGCACCTTTATGTTAAGGAGGCTCTATCATCTGACAATGATGTGGACTACTGTCTCATCTATCTAAACTTTCTGCCAAGGAAAGTAACAGCCGCAAACTCCATTAAATGCGATGAATACAGTCGTTCAGTGAATTAGAAGTGCGTTATGGTTTGCGTACTAGCTACTTCACATGCAAGCATTATGCTTTTGTTAGCGATGAGCATACTGTGAAAACGTGTCATCATTTTTTATCTTTATCCCAGCAAAGTCTCTTAAAATAAAAAAACTTTTATTTCTTCTTTATTTGTGTTGGTTTCCTTTAATATTTTTCCATTTTTAGCGGATTTATCAAAGGTGCCCACAACCGGATACAAAAATTTTTTTGTCAAAAAATTTCCATTTCACTAAATTTCTAATAAAACTTTTTTATTTAAAGAAATCAATTTAATTCCTTCACTGACAGTCACCTTAGACCTCTAGCTTTAAATGCGTACACATATATTTGTATAATAGGCACATGGACAAATGTTATGAGGCAAAAACAAAGGGTGCCCACAACCGGAACACTTCCTTTACAAATAAATAAGATTGTAAAAGAAATAATTTCAGAATAATTGCCAAAATGTTATAAAAGAAAGGAAATAATTTAATAACAAAATAAACAAATCTTAAAAATTCCATTTTAATTAGTAAACACTTTTGAATAAATCTCTTTATTTATACCCATTTGAAAGTTTGTTTTTTAAATATAATCAATAAAATAACATTAAAATGAATTTTAACAATTGAGAGAAATAAAATGAAATAAAATTACTATTTATTACTTTATATGCATTTAAAGCATTAGTGATGAATAGAGGACCTCCCGATGCAAGTTTATTGACGTCATTATAATTTTTAATAATATTCACAAATTGAACGACATTGTAAATTCCTAAAATAAATATAAAAGCAAAAATGCTGTAAATGAAGAATAAGACACGAGTAGAGCCTAACTCCTCAGGTGGCCACGTTCCCGTGTAACGTAAAATTTTCAAACAAATTCTTATATGAAGGTGTGGTTTCACTTTCTTCGCAAACGTTTCAGTTTTATAAATATCCATTTTGTTATTTTTTCTAAATTTTAATTAGGATAAAAGATTAATTTGAATTTTTTGCATTTCTCTATAAAATTTTTTTATATCAAAAATATCTTTTCTAATTAAAAATATTTATTATAAAAATATATATTTAATTTCCATTTATTGTTTATTTTTATATGTATTTGTTTACATTAACTATATACAATATTATGTAATAATTTTTATTATTAATTAAATAATTAACAAAATATATTTTTAGGATAAAGAAAATGAAATTACAAACGACTGAGAATAAAAGCTAAATACCAAACTATCATATAATTTTATCAAGTTTATAGTTTCTTGCTGCTTCTACTTTGCAGTAATTTTAATTACAGAGGATTCGAAATTCAGTCTATAGCTACTTCCGTTTTTGCTACTCTGTAATTAGATAAAATTTTCGCGTTAATCAATAAAATAGGATGCAGAAGATATTTCGCGATTCGTGAAACATGTAATTATTCCTTTAACTTAAATAATAACTGGTTCTTGTTAATATCGATTTTTGTCTTGTTTACAGTGAAGGAACGCAGGGTTTCATTCTTTCATTCAAATTCTTATAGTCAATGTCTGATACAAAAACAGACTCACAATTAGTTATTACATTTTAAGCGAATCCAAAATAATAATTTTATTTTCACTAGTACTTAACTGATTCTCCGAGATTGGAAAATATTTTATAATTCAAGTTTATTTAAAAATATGAAGGTAAACATAAAATATTTATCAAATTTGAGAAATTTAAAACTTGTATAATATAATTTAATCGCAACTTTAACATTTAATCCTTTGGCTGTCAACGAGATTTCCCCTCTTTGGACCAGAAGTGTGTTGAAAAAGTGTTTAATGAATTTTTATGAAACTTGGTACCCTAACGTTTCTGAGATCGCTGATTACGAATCTGAGATCAGTTTTTTGAAATTCAAATTGGCGGATTCAAGATGGCGGACGACAAAAAAATTAATTATAATGGCTTGAAATTGAATACTCGGAGGGTTTAGGGTCGCTGATTACGAATCTGACATTATTTTTTTTAAATTCAAAATGGCAGATCCAATATGTCGGAAATTTTTTTTAATTTGTCAAATTCGCTAGAAACTGGTTACTCGGGGGTTTTAAGGGTCGCTGATTACAAATCTAACATTAGTTTTCAAAATTTTAGATCCAATATGGCAGACGACAAAAAAAATTAAATATAATGGCTTGAAATTGAATACTCGGGGGTTTTTGGGGTCGCTGATTACGAATCTGACATTATTTTCTTAAAATTCAAAATGGCAGATCCAATATTTCGGAAATTTTCTTTAAATTTATTGAATTTGTAACTTTCAAGCCAATCTAATGAATTTCTTATTTTGTCGTCCGCCGTATTAGACATGACGTGCATTTTTTGGAAAAAATTTGGTTCTAAATGATCGGGTGTAAGTTTCTTCGCAATTTTTAAACACAAATTTTTTTTCTCTGTCGCATTTCAAAATTGCGCGAAAGTGTTTTTTTTAAAATACGCCATCAGAAGTCTGAAGCATAATGTGAGAAACAAAATTTAACGAATTCAAGGTTTTTAAATGATTTATTCCATAAAAATTCTTACCATTATTTCTTCCTTTGACATTAAAAAATTTCGCAAATTTTTTACAAGATGAGAAAAATCGCTACAGATCCAATCATTGCAGAAATGCTGCTATGTTTTGTACCTATTTACCACGAAATGGTTGGAATAATTGCACGAGAGCATGGTGAGCACGTTTTTTTGGAGCTCTGGTGTATAATCGCCTAAGTCCGTAAAACCTATAACACATAAGTTTTCGGTTTCAAAATTAAGCCCTTGGCTTATCTGCATCTCATCTACAACTAGAACACCTGAAAAAAGGAAACAATATCAGATATGTTATAACATTGTTAAAAGTGTTTTACAACTTTCATACACGGAGAGACCCACATTCGTAAAAATTACTAAAAATGGTTGCAATGACCGGAAATAAGGGGACTTTTAGCATAATGTGCTACAGAATTAGATAAATTTACAAAAGAAATAGATAAATTTGCTACATTGAAATAGCAAGTTTTAATATTTTGTGTAAGAGTTGTAAATGTAGCAAAAATTGATTATAGTTTTCTCTAATTTAATTAGACAAAATCTGACAAATGAAAACATTTTCCACTAAAACCTACGATCCACTGTAGTAATTTTTGGTGAGCAAGTGTGGCTAGCGAGTGCAGTCATATGGCGCCTGCATTTCTATTGGTTGCTAACTTCGTCAATCTCCGTAAATGAGCCGATGCCATCCGATCATTGACAGTGACTATGTTTCGCGTATGAAAAATAAATTTGGATATTATCTACAATAATTAAATATAAAGTGAAACGTAGGTCGTTCGGTATCTCAGAAATTGACCATTATAAATTAATAAATTTTGCATTTATTCCTGTCCCAAGGACTATGTCTTATAATAAGTTGTTAAAAGTAAACTGCTTTCTCGTAAGTGCTGTAAATTTTCATCATTCAATATATAAGGAAACAAATATGTATGCTTTCAGTGAAATTCGTTGTCGTGCGTGCAGTTGTGTATTAGTGTATTAATTAACCGCGTCTATGAATATAAGTGAAATAAACATGTGTGTGTCTTCAAATATTTATCCAACAAATATATAAGTGTGTGTGTGTCTGTGTATGTAAAAATCCTTCCAGTTTACCTCCATTAGTCAAGAATTGACGGGAAACCGGCGACAAAAATCCGTATTTTTTCTTTCACTCTTTCTTTCTGCATTTACAAACGACTATAGTAATTTTACGTACACAATGCTTCTGAGTTTACTACAGTTGTTTGGAACTATTGGACGAAATAGTAAGAAACTTTGCTAATTTGGTGAACATTTGTCGGGATTAGTGACTTAGTGTAGAAAATAGTAAAAAATACAAAAAGTCCCCTTATTTCCGGTGGTTGCAATGTGAAAATAGTAAATTCTAGTGTGATTTTATACAAAAATTAGTAATCTCGGTCTCTCCGTGTATAAATGTCAAAAACTTTACCTCTTCTTTCCTCTGGTATCATCGAGACACCTGATTTTAAGGATACCCGTGATCATGATATAAAATTTATGCTTCCATCCTTTAGTATTTCTCTACTTCCAAGTCTTAGACAATCTACAGTAAAATGTTGATTACAAATAAATAAACATTTTTTAGTTCGCTTGCCTCTTCCTTTCTTGATATTATCCCCAATAGCTTCCAACCATAATTTCTTGAAATCCTTTAGAAATGAAAACATTTTGTGATAATAATCAGTTTGAAAAAAATAAAATAAATAAATAGTAAATTGTTAATCGATAGTTTTAGAATAAAAACATTTCACTCGTCGATTTTAATTTTCTTAAAACAAAAAGCGTTTAAAAGGCGAAACAAATAAATAGGTTATGTTCTACCAGATATTTTTCGATATATTTCTTTCACTAATAATTGTATTCAATATTCAATATTTCAAATTTTTCATAAAGCGGTTCAGGACATACAGATTTTTGAAAACAATTGTTAAGCCTTGTCCGATCGTGGGCAAACGATGGGATCTATTTATTTTGAAATTTTTAATTTTTATATAAGCAGTGGTGGACAAATGACTAACTTGTCATTTGACCAAATATTTTATTTTAATTTGAAAACACATTTGCTGTAAAAAATTTGTTTGATTTTGTCAAATGGCAAGTTAGTCATTTGGCCACCACTGCGTATATAAAAATTAAAAATTTCAAAATAAATAGATCCCACCGTTTGCCCACGATCGGACAAGGCTTAAGAATTGTTAATTTAGTGCTAGTTTCTTACAAAAAATTTTTAAAAAAATTTATCGATACATACATTGTTAAAAATGAAATTTTTTTAAATTCTAAAATCTTATCGTAAATTATTAAAAAAAATTTTTTTTAATATTTTTATTAAAAACTACGCGTGAAAACAAAACTTGTCATTATAAAAACGTTCAATTTGAGCAATTTTTGACCGAGTTATAAGCATTTAAAGAAAAAATTTACGTAAAAAACGTCATTTTTTAAAAATCTGTATCTCCTGAACCACTTTATGAAAAAATTTGAAAAAATCAAGACAGCTCAATTCAAAAAGTACTAAAAGAAAAAAATGTTTAAAAAAAATTTGAGATACAAAAGCAAAATGATTTCCAATTTGGCCTGGAATTCCCCATATATACCCGACAAGTAAAAACGTTACTCAAGACAGGGACAAAATCAAAAATGCTTGATAGAGCAATTGCATTAATGATTGCTGTAGAATTACATCCTTACAGATTAGTAGAAGATATATTTTTAAATATGTATTAAAGATAGCAGATCCTAGTTACAAAATGCAGAGTAAAACAAGATTTTTTCGAAAAGTAATTCCTAATAAAAATACATGCGTATTGTGGTTTACTTTGCACGTTATTCATTGGCAAGAGCAAAACTAAAACGAATTCAAAAATTAATGAACCCTAATTCTTGCCCACTTTTATTAATCCAGGATGTTTATACTCAATGGAATTCGGAATTTGCAATTTTCGAACGGTTGTTAAATAATTACATAGGTCTCTTAGTAAATTATTAAAAACTAAACCCAGATAGCAATTGTGCGTTGCACTTATCACGTGCGCCGTGTGGGAAGCTCTAAGTAACTCGCACTGCACGCATTGCGCAGACATCTGTGAATGCTTCACAGATGCCAGTTGAATGAACTGCATTTGAGGATAGTATGAGTAAAGGATAACCAGCACCTTGCTCATCAGCTGTGACAGTGTTATTGTGTCACACTCTGCGAGCATATGGAAGTCACATGTGATTCAATCACAAGTGTGAAGAACTGGGCATACAGGCATACAGTGTGGTTGTGAAAACGAGAGACATTTTCTCTGAAAGTTTCATTGCATTTCTATTATTGACATTATAACCTCTAAATTTTGTATTATCCATAATATAAAAACTTAAATATAATATAATTCGTGAATTAATAAATAATATCTAAAATTAATCGTTTACATTCATAAAATGTTCTATTTGATAGATATATTTGTGAATTACCAGTTTAAAATTTTTAATTCTTGTTATTCTATTGAAATAATCCATTTCTCCTTGCGACGTATATATTTTAAATAATTTTTTATTTTTCAATATAGATATTTCAATTTTAAATATTTCTATATATCATTTGGATAAAAATTATTAATTCATGTTATTTTGATAAGTTTAAACAAATTATATTTATCCTATAACTACTAAAGTTAATTTTAAGGTAAAAAAATTGTAGTAATTTATGTAACCTTTTTTAATTTTCGAAGGCTTATTTCAAAGCTGAAATTCTAACGAAGATTTTTGTGTTTTTAAAAAAATGTTATCTAAATTTTTCTAGATTTTTGAAAAACTTGAATAAGAAACAAAAATGAGAAAATTTGATTATTTTATTTCTTTCTCACTCTGCAACTCAAAAAATAGTTGACGAAATGACTTCAAAGTCTGCTTATTTTACGCAGAATTTAATAAGCTTTCTAACCGTATTTCAGTTTCTTTTGTATCCCCTTTTATTTCCGAGATATGATTGAAGAAATGATGGCATGTTTTTTCATAGAGTCGCGTGTAATCGTCCTGATACTCGTGGACGGTAGTGTAAAGAATTAAAAGAATTTAGTAATTTTTTTTACTAAAAAACATTAAAATTACGAATAAGTTTGGTTATGTTGATAAGTTTTTTAATTGAAAATTCCTTATTTATACATTTTTCGTAAATTCAACAGTAACAGATAGATTTGTGAGGTCTAATATAATAATTCTATGCTTATCTCTATTCTTTTAGAAAATAGATTTAATAACTTCTGAAAACTATTGATCCTAAAATTTTTAATTATTTATTATTAAGACTGATTACTTATAACGAGAAATTAAAAATAATTATGATTAGTCAGTTTTTTTAATACATATTATAATTATCACTGAAATGCTCAAAACTCACATATTTTCATCACGCATGCGACCTGCACGAAGTGCGACTCATATGCGTAGCATATGAGGACGCATCTGTGTGACCCAGTGCAGGCAAGCGTGCGGGTTAACCAGCACGTGTGCGCGAAATATACCTGACAGTATGCGCGCATCTTGCTATCTGGGAAGGAATGTAAAAAAATCATTACTTGGCTATAAGACACTATATTAAGGTATTTAGCAGAGTAGAGTAGTGTTAATTAATTTTTTAACAATAAACAATAAACAGTTTTGTAAAATTTAATTTTATTGGGTTATGCTGTATAGCCTTAGCATACAAATAAGCCTGCAGTATTGTTACAGTAAGATATCATGCTATATATGGGTAGGGTTCTTTTACCCATTTAAGAGCTTATAACTCCAAAATTTGACTTTTAATAAAAAAATGTCTTTGAGGAAAATTGTTTGCTTTTTCCTAATTTAATATAATAGGTATGCAGTTTAAAATATTGGTTTTTGAAAAAATTGTATTTTCAAAACTAAAAAAGTAATTAATTTAACAACTTTTCACTCAATTAGGTAATAGTAGTTAAAGATTTGGACCAAATTTTTTTAGTGTATAAATTCAAAATTTTAATAGTTATAAAATAGACACATACACGTATATATAATAATAATTAATAATATATACAATAGTAAATGAAATATTAAAACATGTACACGATATATATGTTGCGGGCAAAGACCGGAATCGGACATTCTCCGATAATGACCGGTCAATGTCGACAATGCCCAAATTCGTTGGTCACTGTCGACATTGTCCTGTAAATTTTACCAATGTTCAAAAATCTTCAACATTGCCCGGGAATTGTTGACAATGACCGGTACAAATTGGGCAAAGTTGATAAAAATTGAATTAATTATTTCATTATTTTTAAAAATGATTAGTTCCGTAATTAAAGGATTACACTATACTTTAACCCGACCAAAATATACGTTTTTTCAACAATTTTTATTGAAGAATAGAAATTTTTTTTAAAAAAATTAAAATACAGTAGGGTATTATACTACTCTTAAACTACAAAATAATATTTATTTTTTAAAATTTTTTTCAAAAATGTCGGTCTGATAGATGATATGCCGGAGTGCTTAAAAAATGTATCACCGTGCGGTGGACACTACAACTCGATACAGATTCGGGCAAAATTCGTACGTATTTCGCTAGATATAATTATATCACAAACAAAATAAAAAAAGAATTAAAAGAATCGATTGAAAATTGTGGCAGCTAGAGTTTCTTTCTGTTAGTGAATAAGATGATAAACAACTTTGCTCGAACCTGACTGGGCAATGTCGACAAAGACAGGCCATTGTCAACAATGCCCGGGCATTGTTGAAGATTTTTGAACATTGGTAAAATTTAGAGGACAATATAGTACAGGTATAGAAACCCTACATGATAAATCAGTAAGTTAAGTTTAAACGAGTTACCATCTAAGACAATTGAAATTTAAATCTACCGGGATTTAGAGCTATATGATAAGTGAGTAGCGGTCGGTTCATTATCTGCATGCATAGTATAATCGATCGCCGCTCGCTCATAATAAGCCGCGACAAGTGATACAAGCGTAAGAAGGTTCTTAATTTAAACACTAGAGATTCATATTTAAACTGTGTGTTTGTATGCATGTAACACATATGTATATGGCGTATAATATTGTAATACAATAAATATAAAAAGACGAGTGTCATATTACTTGTCTGAAATGAAAATAATTGTTAATAATTATTATAAATGTAATATGATCCAACTCGTATGTGCTCTCTAGAAATCGTCAAGAAAACGTGGCTTGTAGATTTTACCTTGATTACGTGCTTTTTGATCGTCTCATCCCCAATCAAGTAGACTCTTAACCACTATATAAACCCCTGTTTTCTTTGAAGCAAATGTCAAATACTCCGGTGAGTTTCTGCCCGAACGGCCCTTCGATCATTCAAACAAGTTTTTTTTATATTAAGGTACAGTGTCAGAAAGAACAATTAGAGTCTGTAAAATTAACTGTTAAAATATTTGTTTTAAGTGCCAATGTGACAAAAATGAACAGAAAATAAAAATGCATTATCAACCCAATTAACCTGTGTGCGAGGCGGGTTGCAGCGTTCATTATCATATACATTGTTCAACATCTTAAAAAATTGGAAGTAACTTTTATTGTTTAAACTTTTAATATTAATAAACAATTATCAAAAGGAATATGCACTTAATTATTTAACGAGAACCCGTAGTTCTTTCATAGTCAAACCAATCCATATACTAAAAAATAAATGTCAAGATTTACCAACTTGACAAACATCAATTAATTAATTAAATTATTATCACCTTAGCTCGGAGCGTGACGCGGGCCACTCACTGTTATCCGACTGGTATCAGCGCGTGCCTCCGAGTGTCAGGCGAGTTATTCGACCCAGGGCATCAATTAAGTTTTTCCTAGAATTTAATAATGACAAACAAATAATTTAAATTTTTGCTAAATAAAAAATATTCTATCATTATTTTTTCGTTTTCAAAAACGTTGCGAACTTCAGCCTCATCAAGACAATTCATGAAGTTTTTCAAAAAGTTATCATCGGAACCACATTTTGGTCTCCAGCACCTCAAAACGTGAAGATTTCATAAAATTAGAAAAAGTCCAAATTCAGACAAAACTATAATACTTTCTCATATGATGGGAATGTAAAAAATCAATAATTTTATTATAAGTAATTATTATAATATTTATGTAATAAGTTATAGTAAATTCGGAAGGACTATTTAACTATCAGGATAGTTAAGTTTCGAACATAATTATTTTGAACTCTGCTGTAAATTTAACCCTTCATTATTTTCTGCGTAATTTGTCTTATTATAATATAAGTCAAGGCTGTCGAAAGACCCTTACCTACATATTCCATATAAGGAGCAAGTTCGTATATGTACCACAAAACTTTTGTTTTGTGTAAACGGAGAAAATTTATTCCTTAAATTTTACTGAATTTAGTTAGATAAAACTGGGATGAACTAACAAAACAGTAGTTTTTCAAAAACCAGACTGTAAAAACAATTGCATTAAATAATAATGTATAAAGCATAAACCTTACAATACATGTATTAGCGCTATTCTCTTTCAGTTGGGTAAAACGTAAGATAAGTGTTCGTTACATTTATATTTGCTGAATAGTTCGGTAAAACATAAGATAACTGTTCACTATACTTATTTTTACTGAATATATAGTTCGGTAAAATTGATCAGTTACAATTTACTGAATAGTTCGGTAAAACTTGAAGAACACAAATAAAAAATAATGTTAAAGCGGTAGATGCAGTAAATCTCAATTTACCTACTTCAATCACTACCTAACCCCCTACAATTACTACCTAACTTAACTTTTAACTACCTAACCACCTACAATTGTTTATGAACAAATACTATTTGATACACCTTCTAAACGCATACACTTATACATACATCGCACGATTTGCATTATTGATTCAGAAAGTTTAAACTGTCCTTATATATTAATCTGAATTTTATTTCACCGCTTGTGAGAAATATTCAAATTAATAAACTACCCAGTGTGCACGTTCCGGAACAATTCCGGAACCGTTCTGTAACTGTTCTTTATTTCCATTAACTGTTACAGAACAGTTCCAGAACGTGCACACTGGGTATTGTTTGAATTTAATAATACTTACTTACTATTAATGTTAAAGTTTTTCATTTGACTACGGGGCACTTAAATAAGTATTTCAATCTTGAAAACTAACACTTTAGACAAGTCAAGGAAGTTTTACCGAACTATTATCCTAAAACGTTAGTGCCCATCAAAAAAGTATTCAAATAAACGTTAAAATTTTATTTATTTTGTATTAAACGTTCAGTTTAAATTGTTTTTCAATTATGCCACTATATCCCAACTTTACTGACAAATTCGGTAAAATAGAAGAAACAAATTTGCTCCGTGTAAAGCATTATTTAATTTGCACAACACTTCTAAAAGGCCTTAACTGGAAAATTGTTAAAAAACTTTAAAATTAACTCATTATTCTAATTATAATGTAACAAAAAATTAATTAATGGAGTTTTTAGTATAACTTTCCAAATTATACATTTCAACAATTTTTTATATTTTTCTTACAGTTTTTACGAATTTTATCATTTCTATAAATACACACTTTATTAATTAATAATTTGATCTTATTTCTATTATTGTTTATAAAAACATATTTTATTAAATAAATAAATTAAAAAATCTTTTTTTTTTGCTCTATGACTTAAAAGAAACTTATTCATTTATTTTACACAATTCTCCGCGGTCAAAATAGGTTGACCATAAGTGGGTTACAGATATAAATTAGGTTTGCTTCAAGTATAAAGAATAAAAAGTAGAAATAATTAATACAATATACAAAATAAGTTCTTCTAACAAAGATCGATTCAAGCAAGTACTAAAAATTTGTTGGTTTGAAAAAAATAAATTGCTAACGTTTTATATCTTATTTAATTTTAATATAAATTAAAATTTGTAATTAATATTTGATTTGCACTATTCATCTTTGAAGATTAAATTCAATAAATCTTTTGCCTTTTAAGGCACGAAAACAGAAAACTTGTCCAATACTCACGCTGTTGTGAGACCTTGACATATATAAATCAAGGAGATCGACAGAGAAATCTGTACATTGGAGTTGAATTTCAAAGTTTTAATAAGTTTCAATTAAACTGAAAAAAATGTCCACCTTACATGAATTTACTTCCTTAATGCTGACTAATCCAAAGGAGAAAATTTGAGAATTTAATATCAAACAAAATTCTTATTAACTTAATAACAATTTTAATGCACTCAAACACATACCCATTTACAAGGAATCAACTACACTTTAAAAAATATTCGTAATTTTAATATACACTAAATACTAAAATTTGATATGCATGTGAATGTGTATTGAATGGAAATATTTCCCAACAATGCTTCCCCATCAAATTTAGTAATCTACACTGTAAGAAAAGGGAGTTTACTTTTAACTCCCCAGGAGATTCTATAAAAGTCGCACCCATTGGAGAGTTAATGCTAAGGGAGTTGGATAAAAGAGAGTTAGTAAATTAACTCTCTTTTGGAGTGGATTTTTAACTCGAAAAATTTCACTCCCAACTCCTGAGTCCGTTAACTCTCTAAATTTTTTAAAGTGTATTTAGTAAAATCAATAAATAAAATAATGATGATCAAATAACAATACCCGATGATTTTTTAAAAATTAACTATTACTAAATTTTATAGAGAGGCATTTTAGTGGGAAGCTTGCCTGTTCAAGTACCCAGCAAGCACAGACATCCGTGGGATATCCTTTTCATAACGTTTCCAGGACATTGTAAAAAACATTTCTAAAATATCTTAAAGATATCTTAACAATGTCTTAAAAAAGATATCCTGAAGGCGTCTTAATCAAATTCTATGTCTGGCCTGAAAACGTCCAAATGTGTCATATGGATATTTTCAGAAAGTGCATGGGACATTCTCAGAAAATGTTGAGGATATTTTGAAGATATGATTTGGACATTCTCAGGACACATTGATGGCATTTTTAGGACTTTCTCATGACACACTTTAAGGACACTTTTTAGGACCTGTTTTGGACATTTTCAGTACACATTGAGGACATGTTCTGACCATCTTTATAGAATGTCTCATATATGCCCTAAAAATGTTCTCAACGTGTCCTGAGAAAATGCACAAACATTTCCTAAAAATGTCCTTAGTGTGTCTTGAGAATTTCCCACACATATCCTTAATGTGTCCTCAGAATGTCGAAATCATGCCCTAAAAATGTCCTAAAAATGTTCCAAATATTTCTAAAATACATCCTCAAAGTGTCTTATGGACATTCTAGACAAATTTTAAAGACGTCTCTGAGTCAGACATAGAACGTTCTATGAACCGCTTATGCGGTAGACCGCTTTTTCATACCCCAAGGACATGAAAAATTAACCTGGACATAGAAAATTTGTGATTTTTGTTTTTTTGACAGTATTAATTAATTTGTAGAGTAATGAGAAGATCATTAAAAATGATATTTCAGATCATTTAATTTTTATTTATAATCCTTTTTGAAATCTTATATACTATGTCCGTCGCTTGGATAATAATATATTTGTAAAATAATTCATCTCCTGATGAGGAACTATATATAGTTCGAAACTATAGTTGGGATTTTAAATAAATTTCATTAAAAAACAAACCGTATCTAGGCCTTCTCATTACTCTACAAACATAGAAAATGTTAGTTTTTAAGAAATTTTACCTATATTTTCTCAAATAGAAGTATTTTTTAAATTACAAAGATCAAACCGAATAGCGGAATGTTTCTTTGACAGATGACAGATGTCAAAAATGTTGTCAATCTTTTGAAAAAGAGATTTTTTAAAGTATTATGCAATAGTTTACTCAATTTCAAGTATTTTAAAAAAACTGAAATTAAATCAAATAGCATGCCATTTTGACAATTGACAGCTGTCACAATGCTGTAAAACTTAGAAATAAACAATAATTTCGAAGAAGTTTACATCATTTTACTGAAACACGAATAGTTTTTAAAATACTGATATTGCATGTAAAAGAAATATGAAATATTGACCATTAATAACTGTCAATACAGCTGTCAACTTTTGAAACCAAGAGCTCTTGAAATACTGTACAATAATTTACACACATCCAACTGTCTTTTAGAGCATTTCGATTAAACCGTAGAACTAGATGTCATTTTGCTATTTAGGTTGGTTGGGTTTTGGTTAATTGCCTGTTGTCACCTTAGGTCAAATAGCCATGACATATATTTTGCCATTTATTTACTTAAATAAACATAAATTTACAGCTGTCAACTATCAACATGACATGTTGCGACTTAGTTTAATGTCAGTAGTCTAGAAAATACTAGAACTTATTCGAATTAATGTAAAATACTTGAAGGAATCTCTTTTTCATAAGTTTGACAACATTTTTCACAGCTGTCATCTGTCAAAGAAACATTCCGTTATACGGTTCGATCTTTGGAATTTAAAAAATACTTCTATTTGAGAAAATAAAGCTAAAATTTCTTGAAAACTAACATTTTCTATGTTTGACAGTTTTTTTGATAGCTGTCAACTGTCAAAAAGACATGTTGCTACTTAGTTTAATCTCTGTAGTCTAAAAAATACTTAAACTTATTTAAATAATTGTAAAATACTTGAATAATCATTGTCAAAAAATTGACAGGATTCTATGACAGCTGTCATCTGTCAAAATTTATTTTTGACTCGTGTTTAGCACACCCTAAACTATAAGTATACAGAGTTTTAAAAAAAAATTAATAAAAACAAAAGTTAGAATATAAACTCTGAAGAAATGATTTAAACTTATGTTAAACCCCATTTAAACTTTAACTCTCTACAGGCTTGGGTTTAATAAAAAAAG